GACCCCTCACCTCGTATCACCTCAGAATCGGAGGGGCGCAGAGCCAACCACTGAGACGTATCTATTAATAAATACCGAGGTTCCTATCTGTGGGGAGTCTGCGAGCGGATGACATCAGAGGCAGACACTCAAAGTATAAAGCCCGCCTCCAGTAGTCCTCCCCTCCTCCACCACCACCCTCCCCTCTGACACTCTAACAACCTTCTCTTACTCACGAGAGTCCACCATCATGTGACCCCCCTGCGGTGCTTCTTCCGTCTTGTTGCCGCCTCTCATCGTGACATCATTATGCTGCCGATGACCTCACCCATGGACAGCCAATAAGAAGTGCCCATGTCACCAGGGAGGGACATGACCACTCACAGAGGAACCAGAGATGACCTCACCCATGGACGGCCAATAAGAAGTGCCCATGTCACCAGGGAGGGACATGACCACTCACAGAGGAACCAGAGATGACCTCACCCATGGACGGCCAATAAGAAGTGCCCATGTCACCAGGGAGGGACGTGACCACTCATAGAGGACCTTGAGATGACCTCACCCATGGATGGCCAATAAGAAGTGCCCATGTCACCAGGGAGGGACATGACCACTCACAGAGGAACCAGAGATGACCTCACCCATGGACGGCCAATAAGAAGTGCCCATGTCACCAGGGAGGGATGTGACCACTCCGAGGAACCAGAGATGACCTCACCCATGGACGGCCAATAAGAAGTGCCCATGTCACCAGGGAGGGACATGACCACTCACAGAGGAACCAGAGATGACCTCACCCATGGACGGCCAATAAGAAGTGCCCATGTCACCAGGGAGGGACATGACCACTCACAGAGGAACCAGAGATGACCTCACCCATGGACGGCCAATAAGAAGTGCCCATGTCACCAGGGAGGGACATGACCACTCATAGAGGACCTTGAGATGACCTCACCAATGGACGGCCAATAAGAAGTGCCCATGTCACCAGGGAGTGACATGACCACTCACAGAGGAACCAGAGATGACCTCACCCATGGACGGCCAATAAGAAGTGCCCATGTCACCAGGGAGGGACATGACCACTCATAGAGGACCTTGAGATGACCCCACCCATGGACATCCAATAAGAAGTGCCCATGTCACCAGGGAGGGACATGACCACTCATAGAGGACCTTGAGATGACCTCATCAATGGACGGCCAATAAGAAGTGCCCATGTCACCAGGGAGTGACATGACCACTCATAGAGGACCTTGAGATGACCTCACCCATGGACGGCCAATAAGAAGTGCCCATGTCACCAGGGAGGGACATGACCACTCATAGAGGACCTTGAGATGACCCCACCCATGGACATCCAATAAGAAGTGCCCATGTCACCAGGGAGGGACATGACCACTCATAGAGGACCTTGAGATGACCTCATCAATGGACGGCCAATAAGAAGTGCCCATGTCACCAGGGAGTGACATGACCACTCATAGAGGACCTTGAGATGACCTCACCCATGGACGGCCAATAAGAAGTGCCCATGTCACCAGGGAGGGACATGACCACTCATAGAGGACCTTGAGATGACCCCACCCATGGAC